TAGCAGTGTTTCGCAAGGTCTTTTCTGAATCAGCTGTTGTTTACAGTCTACCGGGATGACTTGTCGAGGGAGCATGAGGTGTCATCGCCCTTATTTGCTTTGGCCCTAAAGCTTTGGTATATGGCAGGTCTACAGAGGTTCTGTGGCTATGCACGGGGCTCTAGATAGACGCTGGGAATAGTCTGGTCTATGGTTTCTGCCCATAAATGGGGCAAAGTGTTCAGTGCTGCCTATCGGAGTGTCTGGTTCCTATACAAGTTAGGTGATCGATACGAGTGAACTTCCTCACTTGACTCAGCAGGTTGCTTTAGGTGTCGTCCACTGTTCCACTCAACAGTCTGGACAGCCGGAAGCAGGCAGCTAGTAAAGGGTCCCGGATGTTGTGGTTTATCCGTCGTTCTTTCGGGGCCCTATCCGCTAAGGTGTATGTGAAGCTCTTCTCAGCGTTTGTGCGACCCCACCTAGAATATTGCGTTCAGGCCTGTCCACCATGCCTTGTCCGGGACAAAATGGCACTAGAAACGGTGTTAAGTGTCGGTATTAGGCTGGTCACGGGGTTACGGGGACAAACATACCCCGAAGGTCTACTTATTTTGGGGATGCATTCAATACACTATCAAGGGAATAGTGAGGATCTAATTCCAACCAAGCTTATTTTGACTGGGAAGGTTGACCTGGAGTTCTCCTAGCTAATTGGTCCTGCTAGACTATCTGGTCTCCGCAGATATGGTATGAAGCTGAACATAAAGCATGATAAATAATAAGGTATCAGTCGTACGCTGTAACGGCCCTTTGCTGCCGTGCGACCACCACCAATCGCACGCGTGCTGTTAACCGCAAGGGCGCCAAGCCCTGCAAACTGCGGTCAGAGCAAATTAGAGCGGAGACACGCTTATCGCGTAGAGTCATGGAGTGCTGGAACTCGCTTCCAGAAAAGGTTGTCAATGATAATTGGGTCAAAGGGTTTGAGTAACAAATATGTGCTCTTGGGTGGCAACACGAAACATTACCTTTTTCATGACTAAAACCCATCTTCATACTTCGATGCCAGTTGTTTTACTCAACCACACCATTGGATTTATCCTTTTCTTTCAAATGAGTTTCCTTACACTTTACCTTCTGTTTCTCTCCCTCTCTTATTTACTTCACGTACCTGGCATGGCAGGGATGGTTAATGCAGGAAACATGTGCAGTAAATTGATGGAACAGGATGTGAATCGGGTTTTTGCGTTTTAGGTCAATCAAGAAGTCGGAGCACCCGCTAGCAACTGGAGCAACGAACTGCTTAAGAAGGAACACTTACGGGATTCATTCTCTTGTTGCAGTCCCATCTGAAGCTGTACTTTCTCAGTGTTTTATTGTTGCAAAGCAGCCAATATCCGCTAGAAGACCGTGCATTGCAAGACTTCAATGGCCAGCTGCAGTATCGAAGCCGATTTGTATATACGTTCATCGGATATCCTCCTCGGTAGTCTTCTTCATTTCTGATACCTACTAAGCTATTGTAATGAAAAAGTGCCACGCGGTCGGTCTAACCCCGCTTAGTTCTGTGGTTCAAGTCATTTGCTGTGACCAGCTCTGCGGCTGCGAACATTAGACGTATTCCATAGTCATCCGCTTCAGGGTCAGAGACACTGACAACTACTGAGTTTAACATCCAGTATAATAAAAATACTATGATGTCTTCATAGAGCAAAGCGCGGCGCCAGCGACACCTAGTCTGGATACAGTTATGCCCAATGCTAAAACAAAGAAGACCTCAAAGCTCAAGGTTTGCATGGATTCATCACACTCCCAATTGAAACTCCTTCTGGATAAAATGCATCAGTCTGAGAATTTGATAAGGTCGCATCCCTGCACCAAAGTAGATTATTGCCGAGGAAAATAGATCGTCACGCCAGCAGGGTTGATTATCGTCAGTGTGTCTGAACCTAATGAGCAAACACCATAAGCGATGATATTGACAAACAAGGCATTTCTAAAGCACATGGCCTCTACTGTTTGATACTGGGAAAATTTGGATTAATATGTTTTCGCATTTTGCCTCGTACAAAATCAAGATGACTCTTCTAAGGTTCGTCCCCATAAAATAGTTTGTCAAGATGAGGCCATCTGGCACCAAATGCTTAAGAAAACCTTGCGGTTTAGGGGAAACCTTTCATGTCTTGAAGGGCCCCTGCCGAAAACCGCGTTAAAATAAAGACGACATCCAATGAGCCTAGGACTAGGCGAGCAAACCGTGGAAGGAGTCTATACTATCTGGTGTTTCCGCTCTGACCTCTTTCCAACTGATTGGTCGCAGTGAGCACTGCACCCTCTTCTTCATGTGGATGCAGCTCTTAGCCATTTACAACTAAAAAGTACACCGTCAAAATTTTTGGCCCACTAATCCGTTCTGTCTAAGCACAGCGGCTAACACCCAAGACTAGATCATCCCTCAAGACCTGGATGTTGATGGTGCCTGGAATCTTTTACATACCAAAATAAACTTGCACATTGAGCAGATATTCTAAACTCCAGGATGAAACACAACGCGGCTTCTCACAAACCAGCTAATGAAACTAGAACAAGTTCAAATTCCCTCAACTATCCTCAGGTTACGCAACTAGTCGGCATTAATGAACCTGTGCATCTAGTAAAAGTGTGATAAAATACAAAAAGTATTATCATAATTTGACAGAAAAATATGTAGCGAGACCAGAAAACGGCCTATTGCTCACTAAATCAACTAAAACAGGTTGCGGCATTCTCGCTTTGTTAGCCAACCCGACAGGTATAGCGTTGTGTCAAGTCGCCGGGTAAGCAAACATGCACCAGCATTACTCCTCCGGATACTCATCAGAAGCTTCGCAGTCTGCCCGCAGCCTTAAGGATTGCAAGCTTGCCTTGTAATCTGAGGGCGCAGGTTCGGGCTTGCGTAGGGACCGAGTAACCCACCCACTTTCCTTAGCGCACGTGCGACTGGTGGTGTATGCGCCGCAGCAAAGCGTCGGCACTGCATATCAGCGTACTGCTAATGCACAGCAGCTCCGCCGGCCAATATATATGAATCCACGCGCGTCTATCACATAACATCAATTAAATTCAACTAGCACACAGTTATCAAACTTCTATTTGAACGGAAGCCGAACGTCTCACCTGGCCTTGATGGACTGCATCCAATTTTCCTCGTGACTAGCTGACTATGTTGCTTTACTTATTTACAAAGCTTCAGCTGTCTTTATAGGGTGATTGTTTACTCATCGGCTAGTAAACTTGGACCGCAGTGCTCAAGTACAGAGGGGCAACTTGTCAAGTTCCATTGCACTATCGCCCAATCTGCTTGAAATCCACCGTCTATAAGATCACAAAAAGATCAGCAAACAAGATGCACAGAAATAGCGCATGGCTTTCAGAAGGGGTATTCCTGCTCCACTCACCTACTAATAGCCAGAGAAAATGGTCACTGTCAGTTGATGCCAAAAATGCATAGATGTGGCTTTTGTCGTTTTAGTAAGGCGTTCAGTAAAGTCCCACACCAGCAAATATTCTGAAAGCTTAAGCATACCAGCGTTAGTTGCAACACACGCTCGTGGATTGCCGACTTCTTGAAAGGTCCAACCATGCAAGTGAGTTTGAAGGCAACCTTTCCCATGCCAGTGCTCATGATCAACGGTGATTCACAGGAATAACTCCCTGGACCTGAAGCATTCAAGCTTTACATCAGTGGTCTTCTTGCAATATTCAAACATAATGCTTGATCTATGCCAACGGTCTCAAGCTGTGAGCTAAACTGTCTGTCCATAACTCCGCTAACCAACTACGGGAGAAATTTAGTTTACTACACGACAGGTCCATAAATTGAGGCCAACCAATAAACTAGGAGAAATGCTGCACCTACCTTCTTTGGGCTTCTAAGCCAAAAGAAACGTACTACATTGGATGGAATTATTCTCAAACACATCACTCAGAAGAAAGCTCTAGGCCTAAGTATGGCATTAGACCTAAAATTCAAACCAGATACACTAAAGGATAGAGGCTGCAAACAGGTTGGGTTACGCCATAAGTTGGTCTTTCTCTCGTATGACACCGAAGATCTTCAGGATCCTGTTCACAGACCATGTGCGACTAATCCTAAGGTATGGTCTTACAGCTGCATTCTTACTCTCTACGCTAAAAAGTGCTGTAATCGAAAAGATTCCGAAGCGAGGCTCAAACTCCATTTTTTGACTTCGTAATCCCCCTAATTTCTTCGGCTTTAGCAATCGAATGTGTTCTCAATGAAGTACCATGATAATTATAGTGATCTTATCTTCACAAATTGCATACTAAGAGAGAAACTAGAAAAGGAAATACAGCAGCATTTCTAAATCGTCATAGGTAGTTCGACATGGTCACAACTGGAAGCTATTCAAGCCGAGAAGACTCAAAGTTCACACCGATGTTGCACTTTCCACTTGGACAGTTAATGACTGGAGCTGTCTGCCGGAGGCTGTTGTCGATGCGCCAACCAAGGAAAGTCTCAAGCAACTTTTGGACACTAACCTACATAATACACTACGATGGAACATACTTACTGCGACTGCACTGATTCCCTGAGGACTCTGAGGTCGCGAAGACTTACGTGCTCCTAATGCTGAACTGCACTTCAGCATGGAGGTGAAGATGCCAACCTGGGACCTTCCTTCTGCCAACTACAGCGCAGTGAACTAAAGAGTGAAAAACTTACCAGCCAGGTAAATAAAGTACAACGAGGATAACGGGACGTTCCAAAAGCGGTCATGATCACCTGGATTACCATGTTGCTATTTGTATACGGTACAAATACCTGATAACGTCAGGCGCAAGTAATAACAAAAGTACATTCAATATAGTCTGTTAACTTATCTTAATTAGCTGGTGGCTAATAAATAAAACACCACTATAGTACAAACCAAAATTGATAACCGACAAGTAACACTTGAAGTATCGCTTAAAGAACTTGCATACGAACGATGATACAATTTTTTTAACAAGCTTACCCCTCTTCAGTATACTCATTGCAAATGAATTTGCTGCTCCTCAGCTGCGTAATGTCACTGACAGCAGCAAGCTTATTAATGAAAATATTGGAAGCTAGCGGCGAAAAATTGTTTCCGATGGATTGGCTCGGTGGCCGCCAATGCCTCTGTTCCTTAAATGGTGCAGCCCGAGTCAAAGAAAATGGGTTCATTAATGGTGGGTGAGTTGCGTTTCTGGTGACCATCTATGTGGGTTTTTATTATGCAGAGAAAACTTACGGCATATAGAGAAGAAGGTGCTTCAGGCTTTACAACTGGAGGAAGAACTGGGAGATTTTTAGTCGAGCTGCAGCTATAGGTTGGGGTAGGAAGTCTCTATATAAAGTGGTTCAGGACTTTATGTGGCGTTTACTTTAATAACGCGATCATATCGTTGCAAAGGTCTCAGCCGTTCAAAATAATCCTGCTGCTGTCAAAAATAAAAGATTTTACAAGCAGTGTAATACTTCTTCTTGATCATCTGACATAGTGTTATTGAATGTACAAAAACTAATTATTCCATTTGCTAAGTTGCCGTTTTAAAAGTACGGCTTTGGTATCCGCGACCGGATTCCAAACTGTGGTAGATTCAAACAAACAATGCGTAATGCACTTTCTTACCAACAAAACAAGTCGGTACCTTCAAAAATACTTTTATGTAACTTAGTAAGCTCATTGTTTCATGTACATTTCTTGGTTATTGCTTATTTAGTAACGAACTTCTGAACATGTTCTCTCGTTGCGATTTTGCTTTCAAAGGACAGTTTGGAAGCAATGCTTACAAGAGCAATGTGCACAAGATGTGTCCTTTGTCAAATTTTATTTCAATCAACAAATACTGAAGCAACATTTTCCTGGACTGCATCGTAACTATAGAGCTTCACGGTCAGCCCCTAACAGCGGAATCGTTCGGTCGTTATAAACTCAGGTTCGTCGCGCCTTAGGGAAAAGTCAGAGAAAAATTCGAATATATATGCGAGATAGACGTTTATTATCGAAACGCACAATCCCGCTAACTGAGGGCGTCATAAAAAGATGCCAGTAAGTGGGAAAGTGTAGTCATCAGTCGAGACTGAGCAAACGTTCTTTGAAGCGGATAGCCTGAAGCGCGCGAAATACGATCCGTCTGGTTGACTCAAACACCCAATTATTGCTCGAGCTGGCAAGCTTCCTAAGTTGTCTAGATACAAAAGGATATTATAGCTTGATAATCGTTTACATAGACAAACAAGGAAACTCCAGGTCACTACACTCGTTCTACTTTTTCATACATCTGTGGTTAGTAATGCGTTTCGCAGCCCATTTTAACCCCTTGTTGTCTCTGATAACAACGCGTACCTTTACGTTTACTACATTTAATTTTACACTGTGTTCAAAATTGCCAATCGAATGCGCAGAGTATGCGGGTGTTATCCACAAACCCTCATCCGCATCCCGAGCTACAGATATTCTCACGGATTTCGAATGCACGGAGTGCCGGAAATAATGGCTTTTCGGCTGTATTAAATGCCGAATCTACCTCTGTGTGACCTGGTGGATGACCTGAAACCTGTGGCGGATGATTCTAGTGGCATGCGGTGCAACCGCTGGTACCATGAGTTTCGCACATGCTTGAAGTATGACCAATGTGCACCGCGTTCGACCGGCGACTGCCTGCCTTTCGATTATCTTGACTGCTTTTGTCACTAGTCGGGGCGCCTTGTTGGTGCGCACAAGATATTAAACAATCTTCGAGTAGAACGTGCAAGTGTAGGTTTTTCTTATGTCACATGTCTGATTAGTGGGCTTATTCCTGATGATAGTTGGGGTCACCATCGATTTCGGCCCATTAGGTGGTGTCTCCTAGTCTATTCCATCTATCGGCTGTGAGAATCCGCCTGAGGCGACGGTTGCCTTGTATATTCAGCATCTTACAATTATTGATACTGACGAGCCTTATTTTATGTCGAATACGATTCCGCTCAAACTGAGGCCGAATTTAAGACTCCAGCGCACCCTAAAAAGAATCATAATAAGGCTAAGAAACCTCGTAAACCTTCTGCAAAACCAGATAGGGTAAAACAAGGAAGGGTTTTATGCTGAGCACACAGCTCCAATAACGATTACTCCGGTTACTATGGTGAGTAAACTCGCCCTGTCATCTTCAGTCCATCCGAGTGAACCTGTCGTCGATTCGAAAACGCATTGGTGGAATGTGCCCCATCAATTTGAGACTTCTCCGAAAATCTCTTATTTTCCGAAAGGTTGTTGTTTGCGATAGTTCTTTTTACAAAACGCTTGCTGGACGATAAGTAGTGGTTCATACTGTGCGCCACCCACCTCCTTCCACCCAGTTTCCCTGGTGTTACTGTCAGAAAGCTGACAGGCTGCAGTATATCCATCGTGTTACGTCAAACCAAGGACACCGGCCACTTCACATGGTTCTTACTAACCTGTGTGCGCTCAAAACCTTAATGTGTTTTGCGTTCAGACTCAAGGTGAGCAAGGTGACCCTTCACCAAGACCTTCTACTGGCAGACAGACTGCAGCAGAAGGCCAACAAGCTCTCAAAAACAGACGGGCGACCGATGAGGAAAGCCTCCTTCTTGTGGATTTACAGGTGGTCCGTGCCCGGTCAATTTTTGCCACGCCAGAACCCATACTGTAAAAGCAAGACCCAGAGCTGGCGGCAGCGGATTCCTTCAGACGGTCCGAAGTAGTGCGGTAGCATCAATTTGCGGGCGCTGGATTTTGCGGTTTACTCCTCCTCGGCTTTTGCGCAACATCAACCTTACACTGCTCCTAGCCGGATTTATCCGCTGTGGAAAGCAGAACAGCGCCTTAGTATCTATATTGTTTGGACGATTTGAAAGAAGTAGTTACATAAACTCAAGGGTGCAACTACTGCATTTTTATGTATATGTCGTAAGTTTACCCTAACTTGTAAGAGTTTGCCTTAAGCGATACGCTTAGCCTAAAGCCGTGCTTGCTTAACACTACGTTTGGTTGCTGCATTGTATTTTGCGATGGCCAGTTCACAGCTATTTATCCAGTTATAACATATTGACAAACATCATTTTACTCAGTTCATGGAAATCACCGTCGATCAAACATCTACCCATCGCCTACTCCTCTTTAGGTGACTAGCGGGCAAAACGATTTACGTGTGTCGGCCATCCAGGTCAAAGGATCAGCTGCGTGACCCCGTGTGTGCTTGTACTTTTGGATAGATAATTAACGTGTAGGGCACGTAGATTTTTTCATTTTTTCTCTTTATCTCACTTAGTTTTTCAATCGATAATGTACAACTGTTTGAATTGATCGATTTTTCTGAAACACATTCTCTCGAACTCTAACGGCGCGTTCCGTCTTCCTGCGGCTGCGTGTTGAGCTTGCTTTATCTGCGTGCCTGAGACATCTGAGCTTCGCAAAACCACCACTGTGACATGTCCTCATTAGGCTATTTAGTCAGGGGTTGTGAAATACCTGTGGAGTTAGTCCAGCCGGTCATATCTAAAGGTCAGCGTCTTCCTATCTTTTATCTGACAGTGCTTCTTTCCTTCCGGTGTGGTAGTCTAGTAATAGTTTTCACCCCACTACAGACTCACTCGTTGTCCAAGCATAGATCAGACTACTAATATGCAGTAGAACGACGTCCGAGGCAGAACAAACCTTAGTAAACCGCAGGTGAACAGCTTTTGTGGCTACAAACAACTGCTCAAACGGGCTGTATGTGTGCTTCATGCAGCGAACATTATCACACCAAGTGCGGTTGCTTGTATGCAGGAGAAATGAACGAGTTGAACAATAAAGCGAATCCTTTTAGGCCATGCACTTAGGTATTTTGACACAGAACTACCATAACCTAGCGGCCATAGTCGAAGAACCTAGAGTTGGTCAAATTTCGCCTTTGGACGCAACCACGGCCGAGTTCAAAGCCAAAGGCTTCATAGCCAAGCACAGTGGTTGAGTCAAGAGTAAGGGCAAAATCGTAAAGCTAGGTACACAGACAACTCCAATCCGAAACCGGAGGAAGCACTAAGTTCCACCTACTTCGGCGACTCCCCTCTTGGTCTAAGCGACATTAGATAAAGGCATGTGTGAAACAAGTTATACAGGCATATCGAGCACACACTGCGGCTGAAAACGTGGCTTCGTACGCGTCCGTTGCCGCTGCCTAAAACCGGGAACAGCCAGGGGGCCAGAAATTCCTCAAACACACCCATTACTCGACCAAAAGAGCAGACCACATTCCCTCTCTTCCAACTGGTCACTTCTAGGCGAGCCTACAAGTTGCTGACAAGCATACAATCCGGTGTTCTTGCACTAAGGCAACTTTCATAAAAGTATAACTACTGGACGAACGAAAACAGCAGGACTATATATGTCAACTAATGCGCATCCACGCCAAGCTGACAGCATTGTGTGCATCGTGCAGCACCCGAACTAGGCCCAATACCAGGAACAAGAGCTGTTAGGGTGGCGCTACAATAAGAAAAGGATGTTGAAGCTGTCCTTTTATCGGACACTCGCATCTAGACTGACTCATGCGGCGTTCGGATTTTCTCTTATTTTGCTTGAAGTGAGCGTCAGCGAAGTAAACAAAACCATGATGCTTATCACCTACTGAGAAACGAAAAATTGAGCTTTATTCAGAGTCCTAAACTTCTGCTGAAGCTGAAGCCCAGGCTCATGATTAGAGAAAGCGCCGCTACATTCACCAGATGCTCACAATAGCTAAAGTGACCGCAACATCGATCACAATGCTACCCTTGTCATCAAGCAAGTGGGGACGTAGCCCAACGTGTTGAACTTTGTGTTCAAGTCCCAACACGACGGAGAACACACTTGAAAGGTGGCGCAAGTGGCATAAGAAGCTCCTCGCTGATCTACGCTTATAAGAGTTGACATCAGACCCAAGTTAAGACTGGAGCGAAGAAACTCGCAAAGGTGTAACAGTGACTCCAGTAAGTCTTACTTCCGAAACGGACCGCTACGGGTCAGGACGAAGGTTTGAAGGAGCAGCAACCCTCCCAATTTTTGTCGAAATCGGAACTAAATTCCGTGAGCATCCGATCAGTTAATATGAAGCGGTCCAAAGTTCCATGTCAGCACTTCACCAAAAACGATTAGTCTCCGAACTCACAAATGTTGGTAATAGCTGACACCTGACACTCGCACTCTCAGATAAGTTTCTGACATCAAAAGCACTCTCTTATACGTATACAAATGCTTGGCTCTCTTCAAAAACCTGTCCCAGCCTCAATCTCGTCAAGTCTTAATGTCTATGGACCTGATACTAGTAACTGAGACGCGGCTGCACAATGAACTAAAGCGGCGATCACTCCACCAGGTAAATCCGTTCTACATAACAATCGACCGAAAAGAGTAGGTAGCGTAATTTCATACCATCACAGGTACCTTCATCAAATAGTTGACGCCCCAGCGCTTCAAGTTGTGTAGATCCTTTGGTATCGCTTGCAACTAAAACGTGGCGACGCATGTATAGTTATCTGCGTAAACCATCTCAGATATCAAATTAAGTAATGGACAGCCCTCTAGGTTCCACTCCGACCACCATTTTGACT